TGATTGTACCATTTTACATTCCAACTGGCATTGTTCGAGCATTCCAGTTGCTCTGTACCCTCACCAATAATTGGTAGGGTCAATATATTTTTAAATTCTTAGCCACTCCAAGGATATGAAGGAGTCTGTCATTTCAGTTTTAATTTCTGTTTCCCTGATCACTAATGATATTAAAGATCTTTTCATGAGCTTATTTGCCATCCATATATTCATTTTCTTTGGTGAACTGTCTGTTCAATTTTCTTGCCCTTTTTAAAATGAGGTGTTTCTTATTATTGACCTTTGACAGTTCTTTTGTATTCTAGATACAAGGCTTATATCAGGTATATGCTTTGCAAATATTTTCTCCCTATCTGGCTTGCCTTTGTATTTTTGTAAAAATGTCTTTTGATGATGTGAGTTTGAAGTAAGGTCCAATTTTTTTTTCCTTCTAATATGCCCTTTGGGGTTCTATCCAAGAAAAAACTTTTTTTTAAAGATTTTATTTATTTATTTGACAGAGATCACAAGTAGGCAGAGAGGCAAGCAGAAAGAGGAGGAAGCAGGCTCCCTGCTGAGCAGAGAGCCCGATGCAGGGCTTGATCCCAAGACCCTGGGATCATGACCTGAGCTGAAGGCAGAGGCTTTAACCCACTGAGCCACCCAGATGCCCCAAGAAAAATTTTTAAAATATTTTATTTATTTGAGAGAGCGAGGTAGTGAACACGAGTGGGGGAGGGGCGGAGTGAGAGAGGGAGAAGCAGACTCCCCACTGAGCAGGGAACCTGACAGGACAAGGGGCTCGATCCCAGGATCCTGAGGTTATGACCTGAGCCGAGGTCCGAAGCTTAACAGACCGAGCCACCCAGGTGCCCCCTATTCGAGAAATTTCTGCCAAACCCACAGTCACTAAGAGTCTCCCCTGATTTCTTCTAGAAGTTTCACAACTTTAGTTCATACATTTAGATCTATGATCCATTTCGAGTTAATTTTCATATATGGTGTGAGGTGTGAGGCAGGCAGAGCCCCCTCACTATTTCTTTTGTTTGTAAGTGCTGAATAACTTATAAAAATTTGGCGTGTAAGATCCAGGAAGTTAAAAAAAAAGTCAGATTGCCCCACAGTACTATACCATGGTCCCTCTTTGTATCCATAATTCTTTTTTTTAAGATTTTATTTATTTATTTGACACATAGATCACAAGTAGGCGGGGGGGGGGAAGCTGGCTCCCCACTGAGCAGAGATCCCGATGCGGGGCTCGATCCCAGGACCCTAAGACCACGACCCGAGCCGAAGGCAGAAGCTCAACCCACTGAGCCACCCCAGCGCCTGAGCCACCCAGGCACCCCTGTATCCATGATTCTTAAATATCACTTTTGTGTTATGTGTAGTTTATTATATGGAAATCATTTGAAACTGGCAATCGACATGTGCTATACAGACAATCATTTTACCAGAACATCCCATTTCTCTGATAGACCTCACTCTGCCCATTCAGGATAAACAGGAATTTATTTGAAATACTTCCAAGAATTTATAATTGTCTCTGGGCAGAAAATTTACAATGCCATTGTATTCATTTTCTATGCCCCAGAATTAGTGGCTTAAAACAATGCAGATTTATTATGTCATAATTTCTGTGGGCTGGGAGCCTGGCTTAGCTGAGTCCTCTGCTCAGGGTCCACCAGGTTGTGTTTAAGGTGTCACCCAGGGCTCATCTCTCACCTGGAGGCTTGATGGTGATAGACCTGTGTCCAAGCTCACTCAGGTTGTTTCCTCGCAATTCTAAGACCAAAGATCTAGCTTTTTGCTGGTGGTCAGCCAGAGGTCACCCTCAGCCCCTAGGGTCAGCTGCAGTTCCTTGCTGTGTGGCCCTCTCACTACACAATGGCTTCCTTCTTCGAAGCCACCAAGAGAGAAAGAGGGAGCCTTGTAGCAGTTTGGAATCTTATATAGTGTAATGTAATCATGGGAGTGCCATCCATCCTCTTTGCCATATTCACCTGGTTAAAGACAAGTCACAGGTCCCCTTCACATTTGAAAGGGAGGAGATGGCACCAAGGTGTGAACACCAGGCAGCAGGGATCCCTGGGAAGCACGTTAAGTTCTCTCCACCATGGCCGTGGAGTAGTTGGGTTCCCACTCGGGATCATTGCCAAACACCCAGCCTCACCGGCCAGTGGTTCCCAACATAGATGCTCTGGAGAATTACTCCACTTTACTCAAAAATCTGAAACAAAAGATTAAGGTAAATAAACATACAAACTGGAAAAAAAACCACATTCTTAAAAAAATGTAGAGAATTTCAAACATACACAAAAGTAGAACAATATAATGAACCTTCATGTGTCTGTCCTCTATAGCTAACACCCACCCCCCAAGCCAGTCTTGCCCCATGTATGCCCCCATCCACGGCCCCCTCTTGAATTATTTGAAACAAAGCCCTGGACTTCCTTTCATTCCACCCATAAATATTTCTGTATAACTATCTTAAAAAACCAGTTTTTAAAAACATAAGCATTGGGACACCTGGGTGGCTCAGTCGTTAAACATCTGACTTCTGCTCAAGTCATGATCCCAGAATCTTGGGATCGAGCCCCGCATTGGGCTTCCTGCTCAGTCGGAAGCCTCCTTCTCCCTCTCCCACTCCCCCTGCTTGTATTCCCTCTCTCGCTATATCTCTCTCTTTGTCAAATAAATAAATAAAATCTTTAAACATATAACGATTATTCTATTTTTTTCACCTAAAAATTCACAATAATTCTTAAATATCACCAAATATCCAGTATTCCAATTTCCAAGAATCTTACATCCTCATTTACTAGATAGTAGTTAGCTTGAACCTAAATCCAAATATCTATACATTCAGTATGTTGATAAGTCTTTTAAATCTCTAATCTGCAGACCCATTTCCATCTTTATCTTTTTTTTTTCTCTTGAGGCACTCATTTGTTAAGATTGGTTTTTGGTTTTGGGTGTTGTTGTTGTTGTTGAATTTTTTTTTTTTTTTGGTCCCATTTCCCAGACTGGAAATTGCTGACATACTACAATTTTAAAAAGTGAGCTTATTGCAAAATCAACTCCACAAATACTTTTCAAAGGTTTACTAAATGGTCTTTTTCTCGGTAATTATGTCACTTTCTTTACTTTTCTTTCCTCCCTGCTTCCTGAATTCATTTATCTTGATCACCTCTGAATCAATAACAAAAAGTTTTGCAAAACTGCCATCTGCTTTCCCCTGGAATTTATATCTTAAAACAAATTTTCCTCAATTGAATTCAAATTGAATAAGAGCATTGAAACCAAAGATCCCTCATTAGACAGTTTGTTATTTCAAAGCATTTTCTATTTATCATGCCTTATTTAGAATCTAGTATAATCCTGTGAAGGCAATTCTATTTGTTCAAAATGGTGTATAATTGGGAGTAATTGCAATTCCCTATCTGACATAAAGTCTCTTGAGTTTTTTTATCAGAGAAATTTAATTTATTAGAAACATTGTACCATCTGAATCTATTAATGTACCATTCCTTTTAATTTATATTCCAAATTAATAAGGTTGTACTACATCGGGAAATAATCACAAGTTTAAATCTGTCTTAAAAATCATTCACCAGAAGTTTGTATTGATTTCTTTTTTAAATTTATTTTTGTAACATCACTTATACATGCATATACTGGAAAAAGTCAGTAGGACTCCTAGGCTTATTAAAAAAAAACCGAACTACTCAACATTCCCTTTCCCTACGTGCCCTCATCCCAGTTCTTATTTCCTACAGACACTCAGCATTTGACAATCAACTTCCGAAAATGTGGACCTCTCTCATCTGTCCTTGCCTTTCTTGTTTCCTCTGCCCTAGGGGATCATACCTTTTATTTTTGGTGGGGTGGGGGAAGGGATATACCCTTTTAATTCTTTCTCTGTAATTCTTGTGGTATTTGGAAGGAAGAAGAGGTAAATGCGGATATGTTCAGTTTTCCATATTTAGCTTTTAGTTTGCCATATTTTCACTTTCTAGTTGACACCCAACCCCTCCACCCCCAATGTCTCCATCTTATTTGAGGAGGTGGGTCTTTGGGCTGTCTCAGCAAAGTGTCATCCTGTAGTTTCTAGTGGCCCAGGGGGCTGTGGTGAATGTATCCCTCTTCATCACGGAATGGCACTTCCCAGAGCACCATCTGGCCCTGGGAGAATGTCTGTTGAGGCCTCTTCTCTGTTGACCTTTATCCCTCAGAGGGACGGTAGTGTTGGTCGCTGGCCTGCAACACGGAGGACCACCCCACATGTCGCCTAACTCTTCTGTCTTTGGGGCACATGCCCCCCTCCCCAATCTCTTATGACACCAAAGAGTTAGGGAGTGACCTTTGTGCAGTGCTGTGCAGCTTTACCTGCTGGCCCTCGGGAGGGCAATAAGCCCCGGTGGGTAGCAGTTGCCGATTTTCGTGGTGTAAATACTACCACCGCTGGGCTGGGGCCTCCAGTGGGAGCTGGAGCTGGGAGGGAAGGCGCACGCCCGTCTCTTGGAGCAGCACGGAGCAGACACCTGCACGACGCTGCCTTTGGGAGCAGGTCTCGGGAGTCTTCCTTCAGGACTCTCGGAGTCAAGAATGAAGTCGTTCTTCCTTTTCATTAAGCGATTCGGTTACTCCTGCCTTGCTGTTCCCTCTGGGCAGACTCTGCCAACCCTTTGTCGGCACCAGCGTTTGAATCTGCTGGCTCAGACACCCAGACCCGACTCTGGGTTCAGAGAACTCTGTACCACCCTGTGGGTGTCTCTCCTGTTGGCTTCAAATACGTGTTGTGGGTCGCTCTTAATTCTCTGTTTTTACTCCACTTTGCTCTCCTCAGAAGAACCTCTTGGTAGAAGTACTTGAGTGCACGAATAAGAGACTGATGGTACCCAGCCATGGTGTTTTATCGAGGTGAACCTCCTCATACTGGTGTCCTTATGACCGAAGAATCAGGTCCCCGGGCCTCCTTATTCTGCAGTTGTGTTAATGACACCTTGTTTCTTCCTCAGTTGACAGGCCTGTCAGAGTCTATGCGGATGGGATATTTGACCTCTTCCATTCCGGCCATGCAAGGGCACTTATGCAAGCAAAAACACTGTTTCCCAACAGCTACTTGTTGGTTGGAGGTAAGAATTGCATTTTCTCTTTGTCTAGAAAATTCCTTTATAACGTGCTGTCTGAAAAGGACCCCTTTCAGCGTTCCACTATTAAAATCTCACATGGTTATTACTTCCATTTTAGCCGATACTGTCTCACTTGTTGGCTGCCTGAAATGTTATGTGATGTTTAAAAAGCCATAGGGGAAATGACATCATGGGATTATACACCACTAACTCCCAGAGAGAGACAGACTAATAACACCACCAAGGGCAACCACTTCATGTTTTCCATGAATGCCTTCTTGTGATTGAGGCCTCATCAAAGTTATGTTTCTCAAATTTTCTGGAAGGTCAGGAGAAAAGCAATGTTATTTTTATTTCAAATCATAGAGAGCCAAGAGCCTTAAGGATGATTAAGGGTACACAAGGGCATTGCCTGTTTCCTTTGTGTGGCCCACACCACTTAGGATGATGCCGGGCTAACTGTAGTGGCTGACGATAGCCTCGTTAATGGAGCTTTGGTACTGCGTGTTAAAGACATGGAGATTTACATACCTGGGGAATTTTGGTTCACAGTAAAGGAGAAGGCTTACTTCATAAGCTTGGGAGTGGTGAGGTGTGGAGGGAAATTTTGCTCCTCCAGAAGGCCTACTGATTTCAGTTTGGGTAAGGGGGATAGTACCTCCATCTCACCTTCCTAGCTTCTGGAAACATCATTGTTTCATCATCATTGGTTTTGTGCCTTTAACTGAACTAGGCACCGTCAACACTTAAGCCCCTACCATGAGGAAGCAAGTGCTGCTAAGAGACCATGTCTCTGTTTCTAAAGTATCTTGTTATCCTCTGCGAGTTTAAGATGACATTTTGGATATTTGAGAGACACCTTCCTCCTGATTTTACGGAGGATGGTGACCACATGGTTACTGAATGGAGTTCTTTCCAGAAGGAAGAGATGATGAAAGACAGTGAGTACTGAACAGGCCTCACAGAGGACACCCAAGGCAGGCAGGGAACACCTTTTTCGTTCATTTCTGGTTCTCTCGAGGGGAAAACCATTTCTGAGGGCCTGGGGAGACCCCTGCAGTGCTTTGGTGACCCAAGTTGCGAGGTGGTTTGATGTGGGTCACACGTAACCGGAACGCTAGCCATGGCTCTGTGCGATCCTGTTCAGGGTGATACCAGGGGCATGGCATCAGCTCAGTTCCCGGGCGTGGCATCGCTGTAGCAGACACATTCGGATAAACGTATGGACACATATGGTCTTCCTTGGAAGTGTGTAGTAGTTGCCTTCCTCTAAAATGCAGCATCTATCACAGCTATTCCAGAAATACTTTGTGATTAGAAGAAAAAGAAAGTGAGTTTCTAGACTCAAATGACTTAAAACAATAGTGCAGGGACACTCAGAAATCCTGCGTGTTGTTGCAGGAATCTCCCACGAAGCTGCCCCACACCTGCAAGGTGTTTAGTAGCACTGGCGTCCTTCCCTCGAAATGCCAGTGTCTGCCTCCAATCATTGTGACAACTAAAGATGCCCCACAAATTTCCCAAAATGCTTCCTAGGGGATGATGGGGCCCCCCGCTGATAGCCATTGTCTTAGGCTAGGAGTCTTCAATCACAATCCCTAAAAGAATTTTGAAAAACTAAATACCTCTTTGCAGTTTTTTGAAGTTGACATCTAAAATTTTCTAAGTTTAAATAGCTGTGAAAGATGTAATTTCTTTAATATTAGAAGTATTGACATTTTCAAACCTCAAACTTTTAAAAAAGATTTTATTTATCTGTCAGAGAGAAAGAGAGCACAAGCAGGGGGAGCAGCAGGCAGAAGGAGAAGCAGACTCCCCGCTGAGCAGGGAGCCCGACGCAGGACTTGATCCCAGGACCCTGGGATCATGACCTGGGCTGAAGGCAGAGGCTTAACCAACCATCCCCTCAATAAACATTTTTTTAAAGATTTTATTTATTCATTTGACAGACAGAGATCACAAGCAGGCAGAGAGAGAGAGAGAGAGAGAGAGAGGAAGGGAAGCAGGCTCCCTGCCGAGCAGAGAGCCCGATGCAGGGCTCGATCCCAGAACCCTGGGATCATGACCTGAGCCAAAGGCAGAGGCTTTAATCCACTAAGCCACGCAGGCACCCCAACAAGCAAGTTTTTATGTGGACATAAGTTTTCAACTCCTTTGGGGAAATACCACCAAGGAGCGTGATTGGTGTGTTGTATGTTAAGAGGTGTTAAAAGTTTTGGGGCACTTGGGTGGCTTAGGTGCTTGAGCATCTGACACTTGGTTTCAGCTCAGGTCATGATTTCAGGGTTGTGGAATTGAATCCCGAGTCAGGCTTTGTGATCAGTGCAGAGTCTGCTTGAGGCTCTCTCCCTCTGCCTCCCACTTGCACTTGTGCACTCTCTCTCTCTCGTTTTCTCTAAAATACATAAATAAAATCTTTATTTTTAAAAAAGTATGTTACGTTGTGTAAGAAACTGCCTAACAGTTCCAAAGTGGCTGTCCCATCTTGCATTTCCTGCAGCAGTGCGTCAGAGTTCCTGTTGCTCCGTATTCTCACCAGCATCTGGTGTTGTCAGTGTTTTGCATTTTGGTCATTAATAGATATATAGTGGTATTTCATTGTTGTCTTGTTTATTCCTTGGTGACATAAGATGTTGAACATCTTGTGTTTATTTGCCATCTGTATGGCTTCTTTGGTGAGGTGTATGTTCAGATTATTTGTAATTTTTAAATCTGGTGGTTCACTTTCTTGTTGTTGGGTTTAAAGTGTTCCTTGTATAGTTTGGATAACAGTCCTTAATCTCTTCTCTCTTTTTCAATTATTTTCTCCAGTCTGTGGTTTGTTTTCTTTGTTAACACTGCCGTAGTTGCTTATTTAATTCTAGGGGATTTTTCTTTTGAAATTCTTTCAAATTTTCTACATAGGTGGTCATGTCATCTGTGAATAAAAATGGTTCTATTTCTTCCTTCCCAGTCTGTATACTTCTTGTTTCCTTCTCTTGGCTTATTGCAGTAGCTAGGACTTCCCCTACAATGTTGAAAAGCAGTGGTAAGAGGGGATGTCATTGCCTTGTTCCTGATCTCAGTGGGAAAACTTCAACTTTCTCTCCTTTAAGTGTGATATTAGCTGTAGGTTTTTTTGGTAAATAGTGTTTATCAAGTTGAAGAAGTTCCTCTCTATTCTGTTTTCTGAGAGTATTTATCATGAAGGAGTACTGGATTTTACCAAATGTCTTTTCCGCATCTATTGATCTTGCAGTTTTCCTCTTTAACTTGTTGATGTGGTGAATTACATTAATTACATACCTGAGATAAATCCCACTTGGTCATGGTATATAATTCTTCTTATATATTGATGGATGTGATGTATTAATATTTTGGTTAAGAGTTTTGCATCCAGGGACACCTGGGTGGCTCAGTCAGTTAAGCATCTGCCTTTGGTTCAGGTCATGATCCTGGGGTCCTGGGATCAAGTCCCACATCAGGCTCCTTGCTCAGTAGGGAGCCTGCTTCTCCCTCTGCCTGCTGTTCCCTCAGCTTGTGCGCTCACGCACTCTCTTTCTCTCTCTCTGACAAATTAAATAAAATCTTTAAAAAAGTGGGGGGTGCATCCATTTTCATGAGACAACTTGGTCTGAGGGTTTTTTTTTTTTCTTACAATATCTATTTTTTATTTTGGTATTAGGTTAATGCTGGCCTCAGAGAATGGGTTAGGAGGTATTCCCTCTGCTTCAGTCTTCTGGAGGAGATTGTAAAGAATTGGTGTAGTTTATTCCTTAAATGTTTGGTAGAATTTACCAGTGAACTCATCTGGGCCTGGTGTTTTCTCATTTAGAGGGTTATTAGATATTTATTCAATTTGGCCTATTCACACTGTCTGTTTTTCTAGTGTAAGTTTTTTTTTTTTTAGACCTGTGACTTTTTTTTTTAGATTTTATTTATTTATTTAACAAACAGAGATCACAAGTAGGCAGAGAGGCAGGCAGGAGAGAGGAAGGGAAGCAGGCTCCCTGCTGAGCAGAGAGCCTGATTCGGGGCTCGATCCCAGGACCCTGGGATCATGACCTGAGGCGAAGGCAGAGGCTTTAACTCCCTGAGCCACCCAGGTGCCCCTCTAGTGTAAGTTTTGACGGCTTGTGTCTTTCAAGGAATCTGTCCATTTTGTTTAGGCTACCAAATTATGGAGTTGCTCATAATATTCCTTTATTATTCCTTTTAATGTTCATAAGATCAGCAATAATGCCCCCTCTTGAATATCCCATTTTAATAATTTGAGTATTGTCTCTTTTTTCTTAGCTTAACTAGAGGCTTATAAATTTGATTGATCTTTTGACAGAACCAGCTTTTGGGTTCATTGATTTTTCTCTATTGATTCCTGTTTTCAATTTCATTCATTTCTGTTCTGATTTCTTATGCTTACTCTGGATTTAATTTGCTCTTCTTTTTCTGGTTTCCTAAGGTGGAAGCTTAGATTGTTGACTTCAAATACTTAGACTTTTTAGACTTTCTTTTTTCCCCAATATATGCATTTAATGTTACATATCTCCCTCAAAGCTGTTTTCCCTGCATCCCACATATTTCATTAAGCTGTGTTTTCATTTTCATTTACCTCAAAATATTTAAATATTTCTGTTGAGATTTATTTATTTATTATTATTATTTTTTTACCTGTGTGTTATTTAGCAGTGCGATTGCTCCATCTCCAAGTATTTGGGGATTTTCCAGCTATCTTTCTGTTTTTGATTCCTAGATTAATTCCACTGTTGCCTGAGAACACACATTGTATGATTTCTATTCTTTTAAATGTGTTATGGTGTGTTTTATGGCCCAGAATGTTGTCTGTCTTGGTGAATGCTTCATGTGAGCTTGAGAAAGTTGTGTATTCTGCTGTGGTTGGATGAACTAGTCAGTAGATGTCAATTATATTCAGCTGATTGATGGTGCTGTTGAGTTAAACTATGCCCTTATTCATATTCTGTCTGCCAAGTCTATCTGTTTCTGATAGAGGGGGTTAAAGCTTCCAA